TTAATTCAAAAAGTTACTCCACTATAAACTTGAAATTGCACTCTCGTAATTATAGACATAAATTACGTCTAAATTGTGTAGTGTCCATTTGATATAATCATTGCATATAGATTAATCCTCCATAAATAATTCATAATTAGAGCTAGGTGAAATCCGTTAACCTCTCTAATTACATATTTATCCTTGAGTAGCATTGATTCTCTAATGGACAATGATTCATAAAATAAATTTATGAATCGAAGCGCTCCTACTGGTCCAAGTACCAAATCAACCCTCAAAAAAATTATTTATCCACTTCTTTCTCAAGAAGAAATGGATTTCATCTCGTATAATAATATTCGCGGTAACTTACTTCATCATGTCTCTAAAATACATGGAATATGACTCAGGATCTCAGAATCCGTACCGAGTAAATTAAAAGACACAAATCCATAAATAGGAGTCTCTTAAGAACTCTCAGGATTAAGATCATTCTATATATGACCATCGGTAGACTCAATTAGAATTTCTATACTTAACGAAAATTATAAGAAATTCATATTGTGTATGTGTCCTTGTTCCACATAATCTCATTATGCGTAATACACTCATTCAATATCTCGTCATATTAATAGTGCGGATACTACCGTTCCATTCTAAATGGGAATGACATGCATTAGTAATGTTTTAATTAAAGATTTTGAACTTTAATTAAATTTATTACAAATATCGTTTTGATTATTATCCTTAAATATTATCCTTTCGCATATAACACTTATACATAATATTTAAGGTCACATAAATAATCATGTAATTTTCACTGATATTCATAAAATATTCATAAATATATGCACAAAAAATAATGAATACACTCTTTTATTAAATAAATAATAAATATCCTATTACATCTTATGCTTCTAAAACACCATTTCCAACAAAAATGGGTACCAATCATGGGTAGTTGGAAATGAAACATGCAAAGTTGAGAAGGGTGTCCAAAGAGCAACTAGGTTTGGATGATAAAATGATTTGGTTTATTCTCTCGTGATATGATCAAATCACAGTTAAACCAGTAGTAAAAAATGTGTGCTTCTCACGTGTGACTCATGTAATAAAATAGTTATACAAATCCACGGGAAAAAAAGGAAAAGAAAAGAAAGAATAGAAAAATATTAATAATGCATATACTGTCATTAGTGACTACATTAATAATTAAATTATATACATAATAAATTAATATGCTAAATAATTAAAAAACCGTAATTATTAATTAGTATATAAGTAATTGCTATGTTAGTAATTTAGTCATAATTTTAGTCTATAAGTAAGTAATTAGGGTATCAATAACAAATATTTAATAAATAAAATTTAAAAAAGGAACTAAAATGGAAAAATAAAGTTTTAGGGCAAGAGGCGAAAAAAAGACTAAAATGAAGAATAATTAAGTTTTATAACAAAAGAGACCAAAATGGAAAAATAAAGATTCAGAACAAAAACATAAAACTAGGGCAAAAAGGATGAAAACAAATAAATAAATAAGTTTTAGGGTAAAATGAACCGAAATGGAAAAAAATTAAAATTTAAGGGAAAAATAAAAAATGGTAAGAAAAGGACTAAAAAGAAATAATAAGTTTTTGGGTAAAATGGACCAAAATGAAAAAAAAAAATAAAGTTGCGTGGTAAAAAAAGGGTCAAAAAATGACCATATAGATGAAATACGTAAGTTTTAGGGCCAAAAAAAAATCCAAAACGGAAAAAAAACTTTATGACTAAAATAAAAAAGGGTAAAAAAATGACTAAAATGAAAAAATAAATAAGTTTTAGGGTAAAAGAAACTTAAACAAACAAACAAAAAAGAAGTTTTAGTGCAAAAATTAAAAAATAAAAATAAAAAAGGTCCAAAATGAGAAAATAAAAAAGTTCTAGGACAAAAGAAACAAAAATGAAAGAAAAATTAGATTTCAGGACAAATATTTGAAAAAAAAGGGTTAAGATGAAATATAAATAAATTGTAGGACACCAAGTAAAGATAACAATTAAAAATATAAAATTTTGGGGAAAAAAGTTAAATTAAAAGAGAATATGGAAAGGAAAAAAAAACCTCAAAAGTAAAATAAATAAATAAATAAATAAATAAACGTCACTAAAAATTGGTTTTTTTAACTCTATGCGTATGGTCCATGCACCAATCTGGGCTGTTGGTTTTTCAATCTAATGGCTTGAAAAAATTCCCAGTTTAATTTATTATTATTATTATTTGTTATATTTATTTATTAATTTTGAATCGATTTATGGTTCAATCGATTTATGGTTCAATTTTGTTCGATTTAACATCATTTTACACTAAATTTTGACCCTACTTAGATAAAAATACTATCAACAATAAAATTAAAGTAAATACACTAAAACAAAATAAAATCACACCAAATTAAATAAAAAACAAATTAAGTAAAATAAAATATAATTAATTTAAAACACAACGAAATAAGTCAAACTTTTTCCTTCTACCTTTGGTTAAGATTTTTTTTCTGTTATTGTTTTCATTTCTTTTACGTCATTTTTTTTTACTGCTTTCTCTTTAAAAAAAACAATTTGTACAACCGTCATTTTTAATTAATCACGCGGACATAGCGCATGTTTAACACTAAAAAAGAAAAAAGAAAAAAAAGTGTTGATTTTCGGTCTGATTTTGTTCGTTTTAACGTTTTCTGCCAAATTATGGAGGCTGGTCAAATAAAAGTACTATAAATAATCTGAATCAAAAATTAAAATTAAACAAAAATACGCTAAAATAAAATCACACTGAGTATATCGAAGGCTTTAACGATGCCCTAAGTTCAGGCAAGGTGAGTAGACCTAGATCTCCTTTCTCTTTGTGTCCATCCCTCTTTCTTTCTCTGTTGATTTGCTCCCTCTGTCTCTCATCGGGACGAATGCCAACCGGGCTCCCTCACGAATGCCGTGGAGATCACAAACTCTGTTGATGAAGCTCTTGTCTCACACCTTCGGTGGTCAGCTTTTGTCTCACGCGATCTACTTCGGCCTCCTCAAACCCAAACCTCCCCTTTTCAAGGCAATGCATATCTACACCTCCCCCACCGGCAAGAGTTCTTGATATTCTCGACGAATAATGATAACTCTAGAAATTAGAGTTATCTTAGGCATTTCTTAGCTTAAAGTTTGTGACTAAGGGTAAGTTTGTTCGTTTTTCTGTGTTTTATTTTCAATTGTTGATTCTTGTGCTCTGTCATGCTAAAATCAGTATGTGTGCTAACTTTGAGGTACTTTTGAAGAGAATTGAATAAAAAAGAGCTGAGTTGTGTTCTAAGTTTTAGTGGTGTGATTTTAGGAGCATTTTGCCGCAGCAAAACTGGCAACAACAACTTTGTGGATGACATCAACGTGCGTCCTTGTGATGGAAAAAAGACACAAGTTCACAGAGGAGGATGCTATGCAGAGTCATTTTGGACCCAACCACTCACTTAGTGACACATCAACATCCTTTTGTGCCCTAAAGAAGAGTACAACCATATAGAGGAAGCGTCGCAACAAGGAGGAGAAGAAATAAAAATTGGTACTATACATAGAGGAAAGAGAAAAAGAGGGCAATACTTGGAGAAAGAGATTTTCCAACCTTCTTCATCCCGTGGAAGCTTGCTTGAAGAAGAAAAAATAGGAGAAAAAAGAATTGAAGCTCAAAACCAGCTGAACTCCTTTTCTATCTCTCTGTTGTATTTAAGTTCTATATGGTTTTGTAACTTTGTGGAACAATGAAATATACTGAGAAATTGGTTTTTATAATTACAATTATGAGCTAAGTACTTTTTAGCTAGGATTATTGATAGAACTAAGGTTGTAAGGATGATGGCTAATTTGTGAACTGTTTAAGATTTTATTCCTGTTCATTCATGTGAGTGTGTGCTTATTTCTATTTTTGATTGGTCATCAATTATAGGGTATTAGACTGAGATTAATACTGGAAAGATTAATTTGAGTTGGATCTAACATGGATGATGCAAGTTCAATATTCTTGTTTAAGTTTGTTGATTTGTGAATAGTATATGAATATATTATTCATCTTGCATAACTCGTTAAAACCAGTTCTGAGATTTGCATTATGAGAACTAGATTCACATAAGAATATGCTAGAAATGGGTTGAAGAGTTTAAGTCATAATTAATTCAGAAAGATTTTATGCAAAAGTTGAGTTTTAATTAACAAGAGTAATTATGCTATAGCAATTTATGCATCATTTTCTTGCCAGACTTACAATTCTTTGCTCATTTTAATTGTTGATTCAAAAACTCATTGTGAAATTCTTGTTTCCTTATCATTCTTACGTGCAGTTAAATTGTACTCATTCCTTACATCAATTTAGTGAGCTCTTACTTGGTAAATTCTTTTAGTTGATTTGGTACTTATATGACTTCTATAGTTTATTTTTGGTGATACAATCTCTGTGGAAGTGATATCTGCATTTTGATACACTTTATTTCTTATACAATCCATGCACTTGCACGTAACAAATAACAACATTTGTTCCCTTTTCTTTAAAATTAATGTTTATTTTATTTTTAAAAAAATGCAAATTAATGTTGAATCTAGTGTGAGAGGTCGTATTTTAATTTGGCAGTCCTTCACCTTTTCCAATCGAGATTCAAATGAAATAGTTATATTTATATCCCACTGGTGGGGAGAAAAACGCTCCCTACCACAGAGTTTCTCAAATTTTTTATAAGCAAGTTTTTATTTTAGTTTCACAAAAAAAAAAAGGCAGTCTTATTTATGACCGTTAATAAAGTTAAAATCGATCAGATTAAAAAATAAAAAAATAAATAATTTTGATATTGATCTAATGACTAAGGTTAAAGAATTACTGGTAATTTATTTATTTATTTTAAAAACTTTTTTTTTTCTTTTAGGGGAAACTGAACAGTATTTTTTCCGTCAGCTTGTACCACAAGTTACTTGCATCTATACCAAAGAAAAAAATAAATAAATAAAACAGCCAATTAGGACATTAACAGAGACTAGGGAAGGGAGTAGGGATATCGGAGCAACACCAGAATCGCGCAGTGTTTATGCAAACTCTCTGAGCATTATGTCTCATAGGTTCGCCCATGGTGGTACCAGGCAAACAGGAAACAAGGGTTTCGCCAAAACTCAAAAGATCTTCGTCGCCAAAAATCATGATCAAAACCAAATCCCAACCTCTCGGCCGCCGAACCCTACCCCCACGCTCTCCAATTCTCTCAGGCAATCGCTTTCGCATCACTCCGACACCGCGAGCAAGGTTCGCTCCGGCGGTGGCAATTTCGTAATTTACTTGCCCCAGGATGAGGCGGTGGCGGCGGGCCTCGGCGCCGATGAAGGCGGATTGGATCCGGTGGAGTCTCAGCGAGTTGTCGATCTTTTGAACAGAGAGCTTTCTCGGTTGCTGAAGTTGAGCCCTAAGGAGTTCTGGAGAGAAGGTAAACCATTGGAACCTAACATCAGATGTTGAAAATTTGTCGATTTGGTTGATTTGGTGAAGAACTTAAATTGAAAAAAAAAAATTTTGATCGGATATTTTTGTTTAACTCCTTTTTCTGGTTCGTATTGTTATCAGTGGCTAGTGATACTTCTTTGCATGAATTCCTGGATAGCTTTCTACAATTCAGGAGCAGATGGTACGATTTCCCTCACCATGGGGCGAAGGAAATGGTTGCCGGAGTTATTGTTGGAGAGATTGAATTAAGCCGCCGTGTTTTTATGGTATTATATCGCATGTAGGTTTCTCTTCCCACGAGGGACTTCTTCATGTTGTATTTGTGGTTTTACTATGTCTTTCGTATTGCCATTTCTGTAATTCATTATCCTTGGAGTTCTCTCTGTTGCAGATCTTCCAATAGAGATCCCGGGGCTCGTGCCGCCGACAGCCTCAGTCCTAAAGACCATGGAGGTGGGTTTTTTCTTTTTTTTTTTCCTTTACAGTTTGTTTCATGCAGTAATGTTTTGGCTTAGTTTATTTCTGTTCTCCTACCTTATTAGTGTACAATTTTTTTTTTCTCCTTTCTGAAGTTAATCGTATATAAGATTCAAGCATAGATGCATACTACCGTAAAGCTGTTAGCATTGCACAACACACATTATGTTTTTTTTTTTAATGATTAATCCTAAACCTTTCTATTTTGGTGCATTCAAACTTATCAACTTGAGTTTATAGCACAATTCTTTATCCATTTCGTAAAATGGAGTAAAATCATAGTTAGATGCAGATTACTTTTGGGGTATTGGTAATAGTTATTTGGTTAAATATTTTAACACGAACATGTTCATTATACTATAAAATTGTCTTAATATTAATGCCAAAAAACAAGCATTGATTTTCTTTCCAATGATGATATGTTTTATAGTAGAGCCTCTTTCTTTTCATTAAAAAATAATAATAATAAAGGAAATACATGTGTTCACTAACTTTGTATGTAGTTCTTTTGCAGGAAAAGAGGTTGCTTGATTTGCCTAAACTATTAGATATATGCGCTATATATGGCCATGAGAATGAGGACTTAACCGGGGTTTTGGTAAGTAAAATCAGAAATGGTCGTATCTTTATACTTGGTAGTGTTAAAGATTGCCGTCCAGTCTTCTGTATTCCTTTCTTAAAGAAATCCCAAAGTCTAGAAGATTTTCTGAGGAAAGCTACACAAGATCAAACATTTAAGTACTGTACACACGTATGCATATGTTTTACACATGCGCTGTAAATTTGCATGTGTAAAAAATGGGTTTTAGACTTTAGTCGGTTGATAAATTACCTGTACCAATCTCTTGACTCTGAGGGTAGTAGAACAAATTCCCTTTATTCTTCAAGCAAATACTCCGTTCCTCTCTTTAACTCATATCTTGCTATTTCAGGTTAAGAATGCTTTAAGTGCCCAGCCTCGTATCCATGAATACTTGAGTTCAGTGGTGTCTCAGTTCCTGAGCATTGTTAACACAATGCATCAACGTTGCACCTCATCCCTCGAGGTATTTTCCGAGCCAACTAAGTTCACAAATCGAGTTTTGAAATTACATTTCTGATTTTTATTGGTGTTGATCCGATGTTAGCTTTCTTGGAAATTCGTGTTGAATAATGCTTTAGTTTCTCTCTTTTCGCTGGAAATAAAGTAAATTGTAGTTTAGCTGTCGTCTTAATTTTTCAATTCATAAAAGAGACTTTTTCCCCCATGTGACATACAGGCTCTCTCTTCTGGGAACCACGGAGACCATGGATCTAGTCGTCTTTATGCTGATATGCTGGAGGTGAGTTGCTTTCTATTTTTTAATCAGGTGAAGGAACGTGTTCTTGTTTTTAGATTTTACATTCAAGTTGTCTTCTCAAGGAAAAATTTATATGTTTTTTTTTTTTTTTATAGTCAAGTTGTCTTCTCAAAGAAAAAATGCATATGCTTTTTGTTTGTTTACTTATAATTTTTTCTGTTTCCTGCACAGGTAATGGACTTCATAAACGATGCAATTGTTTCCATGGATGCTTTTGTAAGTGCATACAAACCAGCAGCTGTGTTCTTCTCATTGCCGGTTGAAATGAGGTAGCTGATTTAGCACTATTTCTAAATTCAATTGTGATTTGTGAAAATCAACTTATAATTCATATTGGATGGAAGGGAGTAGTTGCTGGTAATATATTAATGTCACCAGCTAATGCCAGTTTGTTCTAACAATGTGCTCTTTCTCACCCACCGAAGTACATAATCACTCTGTTTAGCCTAATCATTTGATAACTTTATCCTGGATTTTAGCAATTTGCTACTAAAAGTTTCTGTAGTGAGGGAATATGTTACGAATTTGGTCTCCTCTATCTTCAGACTCAGATTTTTTTCTTTTCTTCTCATCTAGCATCATATTGTGTTGTAATGCAGAGAAGGTAACGAGGAACTGCTCTGCACTCTTGCAAAGTTGCATGATTCATTGCTTCCTTCGTTGCAGCGGGGTTTCCAGATTATGTTAACATCTGGAGAAGATGGAATGGCCACAAATATTCGTTTAAGCTTGAACTTGCTAGCAACGAGAATAATCAAGTTTGGTTGGAACTTATTTGAATTTGCCTATCTAAGTGACGGGGTGTTTGGAGATAATCTCCCCATTCCAGTTGCCACAAAAATGTTTCCAGCAAGTATAGAAGATCCTGCTATAAGGGCGGATATTCTTGTTCAAACTTTCAGAGAAATTAGTGCTGTTTCAGTATCTGTTCAAGAAAACAACAGTAGAGAAACATTTCTTCAAAATATTGAAAAGATATTTCATCTGATGAGCAAACTGGAGAGCTTACGTAATACCGGTAAGTGCTTGTGGGTTTTTTTGTCTCTTTTTTATTTTTTATTTTTCCTCCTTGAAAACATTCCAGCCTGTTTTACTTGCTGTGTGATTGAGGATAAAATTATTCAAAACATTTTCTAGGTTCAAATGCACAAGAAAAGGGGCATAATACCTGAAATATCAACTTTCTGCCTATTGTTTTGTAGGATTTAGCATACAACAAACAAGCTCATGAAAAATGTTTTAGGTATACAACAGACCTAGGAAATAGGAATGACCAACTGTCCAAATTATTTAAAACATTTTCTAGGTTCAAATGCACAAGAAAAGGGCCATAATGCCTGAGATATCAACTTTCGGCCTATTGTTTTATAGTATTTAGCATACAATAACAAACAAGCTCATGAAAAATGTTTCAGTATAGTATACAACAGACCAAGGGAATAGGAATGATCAACTGTCCAACTCAAGGACAGTACATCCAGCTGTGTGAAGAATGTAGTTGGAGAGGAAGCTATTTGTATTTCCTTACATTTTAAGGCATAGTAACGAATTTGTTACCCACACAGATGCTATTGTCAGATCCATTGTCTACCATCCTACACAAATATTTACGAAGAGATTGTTTGGTATCCTTTTGTCATGCAGGATGGATATTCATGGATAGCGAGCAACTTGAGTATGTTTCGGGGATATTCATGCACTCCAAGAATGCCACTGTTAAGGAGTTCCCCAACAGGCAGAGTCCTGGGACAATTAACAAACCAGAAATGGATGAAGATGCCGCAATTGTGGAGTCTAAGATAAGTCAGATAAAGGATCTCTTCCCTGATTATGGAAAAGGATTTCTAGCTGCATGTCTTGAAGCTTACAACCAGAATCCAGAAGAGGTGATTCAGAGGATTCTCGAGGGGACTCTTCATCAGGATCTTCAGGCCCTGGATATTTCACTAGAGGTGATGCCTACAGCCAAGACTGCTTCAACTGTTAGCAAAAATGACAAAGGGAAAGGGAAACTTGTTGAATCGGCACCAGTTTCCTTCACCAATTCAGTGGCTGGAGGAAGGGTGCAACAGAACGAACGTCCTTCAGTCTCATCTTCATCTTCCCAGGGAAGGTTTGTTAGGAAATTCAAAACTGACGAGCCGGACTCCAATACCCTTGATAATAAAAATGAGAAGGATTCGGCAAATATTGCGGCTCTTTTATCACAATACGAGTACGAAGACGAGTACGATGACTCTTTTGATGATCTAGGTCTGAGTGTAGCAGAGTCAGGGTTAGAGGAAACTGAGATCTTCGGTGACAAAATAAGGTCCGGAAAATCTTGGGAGAAAGAGACTGAAAGCTCTTCTCAGAATCCCTCTAACAGTTCAAAATGGGGCTCAAGAAAGAAACCACAGTACTACGTAAAGGATGGTAAGAACTACAGTTACAAGGTTGAAGGTTCAGTTGCGGTTGCAAATGCTAGTGAAGCGTCCCTAGTCACTCACGCTCAAAAAGAATTGATTTATGGGCTCGGACGTGGTGGCAATATTCCGCTGGGTGCAGTGAAGCAGCTGATGGAGGCCACCGAAGAGCAAGATGAGCAGCAGCAAGATGTTTCTGCGACGGACAGAAGAAGATTTGGAAATCAAAGGGGCAGGGGAAGGAGAGGAGATGGCCAGCAGAGGGATTCAAACGAGGAGCAAGATAAGCAGTTTGGTGCCACTGAAGGTGAAGGCACAGAGAATGCGGGCAATTACAGGGGAAGAGGAGGAAGGAGAGGAGGGGGAAGGAACCGTTACAGGAAGGACAGGGCTGTTGCAAAGCACTTTTCTGGGTTAGGTGGTTATTGACTTTTACAGGCGTGGAGGAACTCGCCATAACCCTTTCCCACTGCTCAACTTCTTTCATGACCAATCAGTTTTGAAGCTACAAATGACTATTGGAATTATAATTTTGGGTGCCTAAGAGTAGATGGCTAGATGCCATTTGCAATTGCTGTAAATTAGGGTTGAGAAATTTTTCTTTTTTCGTTTTCCCCGACAAGTTAAAAGGATTTTACATATGTTACCATTTGCTTGAAATAATCGCAACGGTCCAAAGAAGGATCAACTTGTGACCCCCTTTCTTTTCTTTTTTTTTTTTTTTTTTTTTTTTTTTAAAATAACACCCTTTAATTTAAAACGAAAGGTATAATTGATAAAAACACCAAACGATATAAATGAATTTTAAAATCTTACAAGGTCCGATATTCTTGATATTTTAAAATTCGGCCGGAGTTGCTTTTTCTGCCGCTCGTCCTGAACCTTTTCTCCAGCACAATCTTAGCTCATCAAGACTAATCCTGGCCATGAAACTGCGCGACCTGTTTAGCTTTTATTACTGTCAGGAATCTTTACCGCATAGACTCATTAGCCACAAAAGTTTTTATCCACTGGGATGCGCATATTGATATTAGCATTTGTTTCTCTTGCCCGACTAATCAAAAAATAGACACCACTTTAACTTAAACATTAGTCAATTGCACACTTCACTTTCATGTCAATTGCACATTTAGTCACAAGACAAGTAATTAAATGAATACTTCAGCAGTTCAAGTAATGTTTAAGCGAAAATGACACCCTTTAATTTAAAACGAAAGGTATAATTGATAAAAACACCAAACGATATAAATGAATTTTAAAATCTTACAAGGTCCGATATTCTTGATATTTTAAAATTCGGCCGGAGTTGCTTTTTCTGCCGCTCGTCCTGAACCTTTTCTCCAGCACAATCTTAGCTCATCAAGACTAATCCTGGCCATGAAACTGCGCGACCTGTTTAGCTTTTATTACTGTCAGGAATCTTTACCGCATAGACTCATTAGCCACAAAAGTTTTTATCCACTGGGATGCGCATATTGATATTAGCATTTGTTTCTCTTGCCCGACTAATCAAAAAATAGACACCACTTTAACTTAAACATTAGTCAATTGCACACTTCACTTTCATGTCAATTGCACATTTAGTCACAAGACAAGTAATTAAATGAATACTTCAGCAGTTCAAGTAATGTTTAAGCAGATTATTCATCTGTTTAACCTTAATCTGTAGGAAATGTTCCGGGTTTTTATTTGATTCACGCTGTCAGCAGAAACAAACAAAATTTCCAATGTTACCAAGTTACAACATTTTCAATCCAATATGCTTGCATATTAACCCAACAGCAAATGAGGCAATGCCTATTTTATCAGCTACTATTTGATCAATTAGGCTAGTATGTGCCCGAAAATATAGGACCTTAAACTCCTGTTTAATCGTAGTAAAGGTATTCAACAATAGGCTTCCTCGTCACCCCCATTAACTGCGAAATGCCCAATATTTTTACCCTGAAAACGAGAAGGGGAAAAAAAAGTACTAAGCAAGCGCTACACAAAAACTTAATGGCTAAGAGAAGCTTAAACTATAAAATAAGTCATGCTCTCATACAGCCCCAAGCCTTAGCTGAGGGTCCCAAGATTCTTTCATCCCAGGGCACAGTGTAGGGGCGTAATGTAACCGAACAAGAATGAATAATCCACATGATATTAGCCGAGCACATATCCCCAAAACAAAATGCGGGTAAATGAAGCATGTACTTTGATTATAACAGATTACCTCTGATAACATTCGCTGCTTGTTTAGATGTTGAGTCCTCGCTTTGTTGAGAAAAGAATTTGGCGACCTGTGCATTCTCTGCAGGTAAAAGAAACGTTGATTAAACATAACTAACAAAAGACACTTAACAGGTAGGTAGAAAGAGAAAAGTTCCTTGCAGCGAACGAAAACCTTTAGGGTTAAATTACAAGTAACCGAAAAAGGAACTTCATCATCTTGTGCTTACTTATAATAATAATAATTATAATTGAAAAAAACATCATTTTGTGGTAGCATGAACCAACCTTTTCACTGCTAGACAAGCGATGTTCATGGTCCGTAACATACTTCTTAGGAGTAAACCCAAATACATCATGAAGGAATTCATTTTCCTGTTTCAGCAAACGAGTTGAGGATATAAGCAAAGCAATTACACAAGTTAACGGATAGCCACAAATGGCAAGGGAGGACCAACCTGCATGTGCTTGACAAATCCTCCCCCAAGGAAGCGCTTCAGAAAGTTCAGCTGTTCACATTTAGAGAGATCAGCGAGCTGAAAATATACTGAAAGAAAGCTGACACAAAATGAAAGGCGCCAGAGGTAGGGAAACAGATTAAAACCTGTATCAGTTTAGACCATGAAGAGGTCTCCAGTGATCCTCCACCAATCTTCACAGAAACTTCGGGACAATAACCATCCTACCAAAGTAGTTACGACTGTTAAGAAAATCCATACGCACAGAGATGTCCATTAAGTTAAAAACAAAGAGATGTACCTCAAAATATTCTAACACATCTCGAAACAGGTTCCGCTGGTTATTAAGATCTTTCTTAACAGAACCTTTGCCACCTGCCTCAGCTGAAAGGTTTCTTACTTGACTTATGATTTTGGCCTTCAATCCCCGTATATGCATATATTCCCGAGCTTTACTTCGTTCCTCAGTCGATGCATCACTAGGACCTTTAGCTGCACCAGAGAACTTCTCTAAACTTCCTATCTCAAAAATTAAAGCCAGCGCTTCACCAGCAGCAATTCGTACAGCCCGGTCATCCTTGTCAAGAAGACTAGACAAATACGATAGTGATCTGTAGTGTTGGCCAAAGAGTTAGTCGATTGCATTGTTGAGTTTTATTATTATTATTATTATTATTATTATTATTATTACTACTGTTACTACTGTTACTATTACTATTAGTATTACTGTTATTATTACTGTTATTATTACTGTTATTATTTCTGTTACTATTACTATTATTATTACTACTATTATTTGAGAGTTCCTATTAACTATAACTTCACACGAGCCTTTGGGTTCCAAGAAGGCGTTTATGCATCAAACGAGAAAAATGCTTGGACTTGAAAGTAAGGCAGGTGGGGAAAGTCGATAAATTGGTAAATGAAGATAAGAACATATTACTCTTGCCAATCTTTGGGATTGAGTTTCCATCCATCCATGGTTGTAAGAAGAAAGGACCATGCAGATACCATTGCACTTATTACGGGACCTGAGGGCTTGACTGCAACTACCTATAAAGGGAAATGTTGATTGCAAATAAGTTGTATAACAAAAACTACAACATACAATGAATAAATTTACAAAACAAATAAATAGATAGAAAAATAAATATAATAACATATTCGGGCTCAACAGAGCATTAAAAAACAATTATACCTCAAAGTCAAAGTTCTAGCGAATAAACTGAAATAGAATGACTAAATACTGTCCAAATATGAGGAGACAAAACATACATTGGAACTGAGTTTTGGATGAACGACTTGCCACATAACTTGCATTGATCTCTCTGTCTGTTCTGGGTCATTGCCACCAACGAAAGTAATGATAGCCAGACACTCTAACAACTACAAGCATTGCGCATGTTGCACAAAATAATTCAAGTTACCAGTTAGCACTTAGAAGCATAATAATTTAGGTGGTACAAAAGCAATTAAACTCAAAACATAAGCAATGCAGAGCATATATCTACCGATATCTTTGAAGATTCGGAGCCAGACTTAAGAGCCTGTGAGAGAGGAGGGAATGATTCTTCCAGTATCTCCTGTGCATTATCCCCGAAACCAAGAGTCAAAGCCAACAGTCCTAAAGAAATCAGTTACCAAATAATTCGGTCAGTATAATATACTATAGGGAAAAGTTGCAAAAGTGTCCAAAACAAGGATTTAAAAGCCAAACCAATTGCATGAGACGCCAAACATATCTCTTTGGGAGATCCTCTTTTGAAGGAATTCAGGCACCGTTCCAATAAAGTCACAAATCTGAAAAACATCACATTAATGCGAGAATCCAAACATATATCCGTAGAGAATAAAGAAACAAGAAAACTACAGATCAACTAAAGTCAAAATTTCCCTTTTCCGAGGTCGATTGAAACATAATAAACATGCCATTATCGCCCCATTTTAAGAAAGAAAGCAGCATAGTAAAACTTAATAGAATAGCATAAATAAAAATACAATATCTTTACTTCTTTTCCACGAACTCATGTTGCAAGGTGGTATTGAAAGCTCCAATAATTGACGTCAATGCATTTTCTCTGGTGGAACCCCTTTTGTACATGAAAGGAACAAATAAATAATGAGGCACCATTAAAGCAATATTCAAATTTCAACTAATAACTTTTACTATAAAAAAAATGAAAAATAAAAAATAAAAAGTTACAACTAATCACTTCGATCGACCCAGCTTCATTATATCACATTCATATTATAAAACAGAGTTTTTTTGAACAAATAGGCAACAATTTAAACAACTGCCCGTTACTTGGATTATCATCAATTCTTTCGCAACCAAACTTGATAACAAAAATCAATTAACCACAAAAATATAACCTTTTCTCGTATAAAGCCTCAAGAGCCTGGTCAAGTAAACTATCTTTATCAACTTGCATTTCTTCGTTCCCCATCACCGACATACGATCGGAACGACTAGTCGACGACGAACTCACACTACTACTATCGTCGAATTCATCACTATCAAGCATCGCAGCATTTTTACGCTGAGAATTACCTGTTTTTTTTCAAATTATATTAGAATCAGAACCAAAAAGGACCGAAAAGAACAATCGCGATTATAATTCCAATATCAATCGATTTCTCAAATTGACCAGGCCAAAAGAAAGAAAAGAAACCGAGTGGAAAAACCCATAGATTTAATTAGGAAATCATGACAAAATTAACAAACCCTAATTATCGAATGATAAAAAATTAGGAATTTTGTTCTTTGAATAAAGGTAAAAAAATAAATAAAAAAAAAGACTTACGCTTTCCCATTGCTGACTACGTGAGGGGTGAGAAGTGTCAGAAAGACGTACAAGGCTGAATCAGAAACTGAAGACGAGAGCGATTTGAGAATATGAGATCGCAAGAAGAAACGAGTGGAATCAAATCGAAGAAACAAAACAACGGCAGAGAAAATTCGTAGCAGGAATTTGCCATCAAAATATAGATTGAGAATTAGGTTTTGCTTTAGGGTGAGAAACAAACAAATCGGAAATTCCCTTGCGAGATTTTGAGACAGAAAATTAGGATTATATAAAAGGAGTTCTTGAAATTTTTTTTTTTTTTTTTCCCTTTCCAATTTTATAAGACGTTGAAATTTATTTTTAATTTTTAATTTTTAATTTTAGTTTATTTTTAAGGGAAATATTCAAATTGAGTGGTATCGCGTGCATGGAATATTCGGTGAACGAACAGAGCCCAAGTAATAGTGTGGATGATGACGTGGAGGCGTGAAAAGCGTGGAGAGTTGTAAAAGATGGCAAGATGAATCCGGAGAATGGGAATTGTCGCCGCCCGCGCCAATTGGGAGGTGGATTTACGGACACGACGATATGAAAAGGACGAACACGTGGATAAAATAATGGATTTTTTTATTTTTCTTTTTCTTTTTCCTGTTTTTACTAGAAGTGGAGAATGGGAATTGTCGCCGCCCGCGCCAATTGGGAGGTGGATTTACGGACACGACGATATGAAAAGGACGAACACGTGGATAAGATAATGGATTTTTTTATTTTTCTTTTTCTTTTTCCTGTTTTTACTAGAAGAGTCTGCTGATAAATTGCAAGCTTTTTGGAACCTAAACACAAACAGTAAAACGATGTTTATCTTTTGTATTCGTGTCTGATTTTAAATTATAATTTATAATTTTTTATAATAATTTTTTATAAAAAATACATATAATTCTAAATATATAAATTAAACGTCTTTTAATATTGTCGTTCTGTGGTTGGTTTTTATTATTATTATTTTTTATTTTAGTTTGATGGAGCCGTGGTTGAATTGATGACTATGTGTGAGTGAGAACAAAACAACATGAAACGACACACGTCGTTTCAAATGTTAAGATCCTTTCAAGTTTCAACATATTAAAACGCGTGTCGTTTTACGCTAACAGTACTGTTGCGTTCTTTGAACTTTTTTCCTCCTAAAAATTTAAATTTAATTTTTTTTATTATAATATTTTTTTCTAACATACACCATTTAAATTGAGTTGTGTCGATTGTTTACTTGTCATCTTCTATACATAAAAACAGGTAATAGACAGCTGTTATATATATATATATATACACTGCTTGTCTTTTATGCTAAACCAATACTAGGGATGGTAATGGGCGGCGATTATTTTCCATTCCTATCCCAGCCTCTTTTAACTATCCCAATCCCTGCGTAAAGAAGAGCGGGATCAGAATCAGAAATTTTTGAGGAGCTTTTTTCATATCCAATTCATGTCTCATTATATAGGATTATACATTTTAAAATTATAGTAATTAAAATAAAAATATAGTAGAAATTTATTATAAATTTAAACCAAAGTAAAAGGTTCCATAATAAAAATCAAATTATTAGCATATTTGCCAAACTGAATTCAAAAATAATAAACAATACATAAACGAAAAAAGTATAAAAACATCAAAATATAAACGTAAATTATCATCACTTATCTATTCTTAATAGCTTTAAAAGAAAATGAGTAGGTACTAGACAGTGCATCTCTGATTTCTGTGTATATATAATATAAGAGAAGATTAATAATTATCCTTTTTCTCGAAATAAGAAATTATAATTGGTAGTTATCCTTTCTCAATTAAAAAATATAATTATCTTTTTTTAAATAAAAAAATAATTTTAAAAGATTATATGTATATATATATTTACATAAAAATAATATATTAATATTGTGGAGGAGGTAGAGTGAGAGGATTAAATTTTATCTCCATCCTCATTTCCATCCCTAATAATTATCCCTCATTCCCATCCTGTTCCGGGCGGGATTATTGCCATTCCTAACCAATACGTCGGTTATTTCTTGCTGGTGAACGTATATTGCGATTTAGTTATTGTTTCAACATTAATTGAAGTTTTCATTTAAAAAGCATTAACTGAAGTCTCTTGTTAAATAAATTAGCACTGGTTGTCGTTGTAAATCGTTTTACTCTTCGGTAATAGCTAGAACGACATGAAACATTAACAGGAAACGACATTTTTTAAGATGAATGACAGGAAGTATTTTCTACACGACACCATGTCGTTTTGATTTGTCAGAAACGACATTAAAGCAGAACGACATCTTGTTAAATATTACAACAAATAAACAAGTGTTGAAACAAGGAATGTCTTTCATACGTTACTGACTATGGAAACGACATATTACTTTTAAACGTAAACAACAACTATTACATTTCAAAAACATGTCTTTTGGTGCAAAACAACGAAAAAATAAATTAAAACAATAACGAAATGTCGATTTATTATCCAATGACAACAAAAATAACGTGAAACATTTACAGAAAACGATATTGTCTTTAGACATAAGGACAACACACAAAACAAACAGCTATAACTTTGAAACGAGTCTCATTTCATTTTGTGCTTGGATGACAAGTATATACTGTTAAAAGTATAAACTTATTGTTGGTTCATCTTCTAATTGCTTAAACTTTTAGGATGAATTAATAATCTAATATGATATTAGAGTGAAAAGCCTTGAATTCAAACTCATGTAATTACACTCTTTATCCATATTTAAATTGTCATTATGTGTTGGGTTTTTAATGTATCTCAAGCTTAAATATTCATATATTGGGTTTTCTGATTAATTTACCTACACGATTGTATATTGTCCAGCCCATACGTGAGTGAGAGTGTTAAAGTATAAAACTATTATTGGCCCACCTCCTAATAGCTTAAGCTTTTAGGATGGATTGTTAAACTAACATGGTATCAGAGCGGGAGGTCTTAAGTTCAAATTCCCGTAATTGCACTCTTTATCTCCATTTAAATTGTCAGCATGTGTTGGGTCTTTAATATATCTCGGGCTTAAATATTCACGTGTTGGGCTTTCTAATTAATTTACCCACACGATTGCCCATTGTCCAGCCCACGTGAGGAGTAGTGTTAAAAGTAGTGCTGAAACTTTGGATGGGCTGCCCGTGACCACCGAAAAGTCTGAATTTTTGCCCGAGTACCGAACCTGAACTGCCTGAAAATTCAGGCTGCCCGACCCGACCCGACTCGAAAATTAGCCATGGACGGGCTTCTGGCAGGAGGTGCCTGCCCGATGCCCGACCGGCTACCCGAATTTCAAATTTTTTTTATATTATATTTTGATGTTGTATTTGTATAATTACAATGTGTATATTACAATTTGAAATTTGAATTGAACACACGAACTATATAAAAAAAATTACTTCTTCATTGATTTTTAAATTTGTAATTCATGATTACCTCGTTAAAAACCTTACCAAGAAAAACCCAATTAGGATAAAAACTTGGTAAGGAAAAAAGAGTGCAATCATTGTGGGACAAATTACAAATTTGACGAACTTATAACACTATACAAATTAGAAATTATAAAGTAAATAAATATTTACAAATTATAATAATAAAATTTAATTTAAAGCAGAATTATCGTCTTGAAAATTAAAAGTTAATCTATTAAATTCGTCGATCCATTCTTGGTTTGCCGGTGAGACTGTATCGTGTAAGCGTTGGTTAGAACGGTCCCAATCCTTGATGCACACCAAAGCTTCAACAATATCCTGCTGCAATGCGTTTCTCCGTTCTTCAAGTATTCGGCCGGTTGTACTAAATACTTGTTCGGCTGCAACAATGGAGACCGGGATCGAAAAAATATCAATTGCCAGTCGTGTTAGGATCGGCCAAGTTAATGCTCGTGCCCTCCACCACTCAACCAAATCAAACATTTCACTACTGTCTATAACTAAGCCATCACTCAGGTACGCCATTAACTCGTTGAATCCGCCGCCACCTCTTGATGAAGATCCACTCCCAGATTCTTCTTGACCTTGAGTCGTCGTCGTCGTCTTCTTCTTCTTAGACAACCCAAAAATATTCAAGAATAAATGCAGATTGTCGTCTCGTTGTTGCGGTTGTTCAACATGAGGTGTGTTTCTAAACCTACTTTCGTAAGAGATATATAGAGAATATATTTTTCCTTTATAATAGGAAATTGGTCAGTAGTATCGATAGCTAAAAATTCACCTAAGTTATCTAATCCACTTTCTAAACCTTCTAATTTTAATCTAGGGTCAAAAATAAAACCGAAACCATACAACATGGGTAATTTAGACCAATATTTTTTAAACTTCTTTTCCATAGAGGCGATAGGAACTCCTAAAACCTCGTGTGTCCTAAATTCACTAAATAAAATAGACATTCTTAAAAGTTCTCCTAACGCTAATGGTGAAGTTGGGTAATAAGTTCCACTAAGCTTTAAGGCAACTTCGTGAAATCTACCTAAAAAGTTATACAAAAGTTCGACAATTTGTCAATCAGTTTCATCTATAAATCTTGTTCTTAATTTTGCACTAACATAATTTGTTATAGCATCTTTATAGGGGATGCATTGTTCAAGCATTATGTAAGTGGAGTTCCATCTTATGGGCATATCTAAGGCTAATGCTCTAGGATTTTGATTACATGCTTGTAGAAATCTAAACCAATATTGTATTATTTGATTACTACCTTGAATCCAAGCAATGTTATCTCTAATTCTTTTAATATGACCTGACATTGATTTTAAACCAGATTTTACTATTAAATTAATTATATGATATGCACAACGTTGGTGAAATATATCATTATTACCGAATAAACTTAAATCATTTTTAAAAAGTTCTATTGCTTTAGTATTTGCAGTTGCATTATCTAATGTTATGGCCATTATTCTATCTCTTAAACTATATTTATCAATAACAGATAAAATTGTGTTATATATTAAATTGGCAGTATGTGATCCTATAACACATTTCAAACCTAAGATTCTCTTATCCAAATCAAAACCTTTATAATAATATCCGGTTACAGCTAAATAATCCTTGTTGGCAACAGCGGACCAAATATCCGCCATTAACACAACACAACCGCTAGTAGAGTGTAGAAGGTTGATTAATATTTCCTTTTCTTGTTTATATAATTTTAATGCATATTTCCTAATAGTAGTTTTAGAAAAAAATTGTGCATTAGGATTATGTACAATTTTAATATAACGCTGCCAATTTTTTTGTTCAGTAAAACTTAGTGGTTGATCTAATGTGGCTATTAATCGTGCAATTTCCA